GGTGGGCTAGAGGTGGGGGTGAGGTGGGCTGGGGCAGTGAGAGGTGGGGGGGTTGGGAGGCAGTGAGAGGCGGGCGTGGGGTGCAGGTATTAAGGAGGAGGAACATAGGGTCTGGGGCAGTGTGTGCACCACTCACAGTTGGCACAGGTGTCAGGCTTGCCCTCCTCCCACACAGAGACACGCCCGCTCACACTGGCAGAGCCTCGGTTGACATAGCGGAAAACCAGGCGGAAAAGGTCTGGGGAGGTCACGTTGAGCCTGGCCGTGATCCTGGGCTGGGGCGGGTAAGGCAAAGGGCCAGTCACCTCTCCCACCCCGTCTGGGTCGCGCCTCCCCCCCCGCCCCGCAGTGCTGGAGCAGGGGTCCTAGGGTGGGGGCGGTGACAAGCTCGGCCCACCTGAATAGGGGCCATCTGGGCATAACCCCTCCAGCTGAAGTTCTCAAACTCAAGGGGGTTGAAGCCGAAGCGCACGGCGTGGCCCTCAGGTGTGGCCGCCTCCTCCAGCTCCAGGCGCAGGTGGTGCAGGTCGGCCAGGTAATGGTCCTGAGCGGGTCTGGCAGAGTGAATGGTACAGGGTCACAGAGGGTCCCAGGTCACCTGGCGGGGGATCATCTCCCTGGCCCCACCTGGACCTCAGAGGTGCACTCACTCGTTGCAGGTAGAGCCCCGGGTGTTGGGGCGGCAGACACAGGCCCCCGTCCGCGGCTCACAGCCCTGGCCCAGGGCCCCGCCAACATCGCAGTGGCAGCCTACAGAAGGGGGGGTCTGTCAGCTCTGCGGCCACCTGCACCCCTCCCACCTGGGCCCCTCCCTACAGCACTCAGAGCCCTGGCCATGACCACACTCTGCCACTGACACAGGGCTGGTGTCCAGCCCGCTGCGTGACCCCACAGGGCCTCCCTGTACCAGATCCTAGGCTGAGTACATGTCCCCAGGGCCCCCAGCACAGGAAGGCTCAGGCTCGCACCTCGGCAGCCGAAGTAGTGGGCCTGGTCCAGTCCGAAGAAGCCGTCCCTGCAGGCGGCGCAGGCCTGCCCGCACACGTGGGGCCTGCAGAAGCACTGGCCGCTGCCCTGTGGGCAGGACAATGAGACTAGGCAGGGGCCCCCGACCCCAACCTCCCAGACCCTAGACTAACCTGATGGCACTCCGACACACCGCCCAGTGTGCCCCGCGGGTCACAGCTGCAGCCTGAGATGGGAAGAGGGCCTGAGAGGGGGCTCGGCGGGGTGGGCGCTGGGATCATCTGGAGTGTGTGGGCAGCCTGCCCTCGGCTGCTTCAGCACGCTCTCTGGAGACTTGTGGGTGCAGCCCACCCCACCTCAACCCAGGAGTTCAGCACCCCCAAACCTACACTGGGAGACTAGTGGTGCCCATCCCTCACCCTCTAGAAGCCCCCGCACCATACTCCCACCCTGGGAGCCTCACCGGTGCAGCCCACCTCCTACCCCATGCCCTCACTGGGAGATGCATGGGCGCCGACCACTCCCAGTCCCCCACCTCCACCGTGGGAGACTCACGGGTGCAGCCTTCAGGAATGTCGGGACTCAGGCCCCAGAATCCAGATTTGCATCGGTCACAGCTTGGCCCCTCCACATGAGCCCGGCACACACAGGACAGGTGAGTCTGGAAGAGGATGAGGGTCAGAGTGAATCCCTGCTCTCTTTGTACAAACCCTCAAACCCAGAAAGGGCAGAAAGAGGCAAGGCCAACTGCCTGGGCCTCTCCCACGACTGAGCGCCCTTGGAGAAAGGGACAGTCCCCCTGACACTGGAATGTTCAGTCTGGCCTGGTCACCATCCACCCACTTTGGGCAGACTGGGGCTCACCTTGGGTAGTGAGGGGTCGGCTGGGGCCAGGCCAGCAGGGTGGCAGGAGCCAGCTGTGGAGGGACAGGGCTGGAGTGACTGTGCACACCTCAAGTCCAGGGCTTCCCACAGCCCTACACGAGGCCGCATGTTCACCACGTGTCTGTGAGCATGTGTGGCAACATGCGCCACCCAGCCATGCGCCTTGCGTGTGCTGTGAACACACACAGCACACACGTGTGCACACACAGACACAAGAAGGCAATGGGACACATCGCACGTGGTCTGCAGCCGGCACACGGGTGCACATGACTGTGTACTCATGATGGCTGGGGACACACCTGGATACACAGCCTGGGACCAGTCTCTCCGTCTCTTACACATAAAACACATGGATATGCAGCCTATGACCCATCACTCTCACACAAACACACAGGGCACGTGGGTATACAGCCTACGACCAACTTCTCTCACATACATGCACAGAGCGCGTGGACATAAAAGCTATAACCAGTCACACACACACCCCCCGGTCACATAACCTAAAACCACACATGCTGACATGCGTGACACATGCATGTGAACACACAAACATGCACACACATGACACCCTGGCTCACCTTTGCAGTGGGGGAAGTCATAGGTGCCAGACACACACATGTCACAGCGCAGTCCTGTCACATGGGGTCGGCAGCTGCACTGGCCACTCCGGGGGTCGCAGGCAGCATGCAGGGAGCCTTCAGCAGAGCACTGGCAGGCTACGGGCAGGGTGGGTGGTGGGCACACGGTGGGGATCTCCACCTGCTCCCTGCCCCCACCTGCCCCTCCCAGAGCACTCACAAACACAGGTGGGGAAGCCGTGGAAGCCGGGGCTGCAGGTCTGGCAGGTGGGACCTGCGTAGCCGGGGCGGCACTGGCACATGCCGCCCGCCCCACACAGCTGGTCCAGGGACCCTCGGGGGTCACAGGCGCAGGCTGCAGGGGACACAAGGTCAGGTTCCAAGGGTCTGCAGGTGGCTGCTCACTGCCCTTCCCCTCGATGTCCACTCACCGTGACACCTGGGGTAGCCATGATAGCCAGCACGGCAGCGGTCACAGTGGGGGCCCTCAAACTCAGGCCGGCACAAGCAGCGGCCTGCCTCATCACAGCCTTCAGGCAGCGTCCCCTCGGGGCTGCAGCCACACACTGGGGAGCAGATGGGTGATGGGGACGCTTGGCCTGGGCAGACTCCCCCACTGGGCATCCCAGATCCCTCAAGTGCCCACTGGGGATGTGACTCACACTGGCAGAGAGGGAAGTGGAAGTAGCCAGGGGCACAGCGCTCACAGGCGACCCCCATGAAGCCTGGCCGGCACCGGCACTGACCAGAGTCAGGGTCACAGTCACTGTCGGCCGCTCCAGGGCTGGAACACTGGCAGGCTGTGGGGAGGGGCAGCCATGTGGGTCAGAGGGTCGCCGGCTCCTATATCCAGGGTGGGGGGGTGAGGACAGGCTGCGGGGAGGGGCAGCCACGTGGGTCAGGGGACCCAGCTCCCGTGTCGTCCAGGGTTGGGGGTGAGGACAGTACTCACCCTGGCAGCCTGGGCCGTAGAAGCCAGGGGCGCAGGACTCACAGTGGGCGCCCTGGAAGTTGGGTTTGCACACACAGCGGCCTAACTGAGGGTCCCTGCGGCAGGCATTGCCCACGGTCCCCGCAGCACTGCAGTCACAGTCTGTGGGTGGGGGCAGGGCGTCAGACACCCCAGAACCTGGCCCTCAAGCCTTGCACCACAGACCGCCCCTAACTCCCTTCACCACTCAACCCAGTGCTCAGGACTTGCCCGGCTCAAAGCCACCCATGGCACAGAGTGGACTATTTGGGCTCCGTGGGTACAGACACAGCAATGCCACACATCTCCCATGGAGCTGGCTTGGACCATGAGTTTGAAACACTGCCCCACCAGGGCACCTGTCGCCACAGTGACACAGAAAGGAGACAAATCAGAATGCAAAGTCCCAGAACCGCTCTGAATCCGGCTCAGCAGTTTGTAACAGGTGTCGCTCTGTACCGTGGAGTCAGTCGACTCCTCGCTGACCCTCCAGCGGGTCAAAGGTGGAGAAAGCTCATTGATTCCCTTGGAGCTGCAGGGGGATTCGAACCTCACATCTCTGAGTTGGCAGCCTATTGCCCCGAGGCCACCAGAGCATACTGTGATCACAAACATCGCAGCCCAGTCTGATAAGACACAGCAAAGAAAACAGGTAGCAGAGACCCAGGCGGTGGATTCTCAGTAGCCAAATGGTGGGTCAGGCTGAGGTCTCCATCCCCAAACGAAAGCCTTCAGTTCTTCCCAGCAGAGAAAGCCAGCTAACTCCTCTATGAAAGACCGGCCTTGAATCAGCCAAGGTCTTAGCCGGGATTGAAACAACGAGATGTGTGAAAACAGAACCAGGGCGCTGCTGAGATGGCGTGAGGACGAGCGGTCATCGGCGTCACAGCTCTGCCCAGGGGGTGTGGTTCTGTGCTGAGCACACTTGGATTTGAAGCACAAAACCTGGTTGTGAGGTGTATGAAACCAAGGTTATTAGGTGTGGGGCTGTGGGGGGAAACAGTGGGTTCACAGCCAGAGAGAAGCCTCAGGAAGGACAGAGAGGCCCGAGGAGCATGACCTCGAAGCTGGCTTTGATAGGTGTCTGTGTGGAAAGCTGTTCCCAGGGAGAACACACCTTCTTGTCAAATGATCACGGAACATTTTCAAAGTGGTCACGTTCAAAGAGGGCAATTCCAAATTTCAAAGAAGCTTGAATTCCAAATGCAAAACCCCATGGGCCACCACCAAAAAGGACAGAAGTTAATCTCACCACGTGGGACTTTGAAATTCAAATCCAAAGGAAATAAAAACTGGCGTTCTACTTTGTCTCGGTGCCCGAGTGCTGCTATACCAGAGAGCACAAGGGAATGGCCTGAACACACCGAACCCGATTCTCCTACCATTCCGGTGGTGGCCGCTGTCGGGTACCATCGACGTGGAACCGACTCACAGCGGAGCCTCCAGCGGATGTTCAAAGCAGTAAATAACGGGAGATAGCTCATCCTTCTCCACAGAGCAGCTGGTGGATTCGAACAGTGTGCCTTTAGCGCTGACAGCACAGCTGGTCAGCTCTAGGGAAAGGCCCCTTCTCTCTGCCGGGGGTGGAGGAGGTAAGCCCTTGCTTCCTTCAGCACTTGTAGGCCAGGGGTTTCCTGGAGAGCCCCAGGGGTACCTAGGAACTTCCTAGCATGGGGACCTGGTTCCAGATGGACACACGCCATCCTGGAAATCCCTTCCTGATGGTAGCGAGGGTCTCGCCTCTCAGTTCACTATGTCCCCTTCATCATGGTCCTCCCCGTGGAGCTGAGCAGAGCTGCAGGCCACATTCAACACCTTCACAACTATTTGGTTTGTCAGATTTGGGGGAAGCTGCCATGTGATATCATCACCTACATAAAGTGTGATGTTAAAAAAAAATGTGATGTTCAAAATGGCTTTGCTAGCCACTGACTGACCTGGTCACGTGGCTAGGTGGGACTATGCAAACAGGGCCATTAGCCTGTCCACAAGAGCCTTGATTAACATGAATGGTCCAGTAGCAGAATGTGAACAACAGTGAAGAAGCAAGAGGGTGCAGTGCATCCTTCAGGGTCAGAGACTCTGGAGCCAGTGAGCCCGGGACCTACAGGTGTAGCAGCCACCACAGCTGCAGAGAACCAGAGACCTGACGTGAGAGGAGTGACCTTGAGACACTACTGAACCAGAGCCAAGAGCCTTGTGTCCAAGTTTACTGGAGGATTGGGGAGGGGGAGAGGCAGGACAGAGCTTTGTGAGACTGGTCTAAGCCACGAAGCTCAAGGCTGAGGTCCTGTGAGCACATTTCAGAAGCTGTCCTGACTGACTGAGTGTATCTTGCTGCCCACCCAAATTATAGCCTTTTGACTTCCCTAACATGGTTCTGAAGCGCCTGCTGCAGAGGGTCAGGGACTGCAGCCTTCAATATGGATTGAGGCTCAATGTCAAGAAAACAAAGATTCTCACCACTGGGCCAGCTGGCAGCATCAGGATGGATGGTGAACAGAGAGAGATAGTTAACAGTTTTAGTTTGCTTGGCTCAACAGTCAACACTCTTCATACCAGCAGCCAGGAAACAGAGACACATTGCCTTGGGAAAGTCAGCTGTCAGGGACCTCTCCAGAGTACTGAAGAGCAACGATACCACGCTGGAGACTAAGGTGCGCCTGATCCGGGCTATAGTCTTCTCAATTGTGTACTATCAGAGAGCTGGAGAGTGACTAGGGATGATAGAAAGAGAACTGATGCCTTTGAGCTGTGGTGCTGGAAAAGGGTGTTGAATACACCATGGACTGCCAGGAGAACAAACAGGTTTGTCCTGGAGAGGGTAAAGCTAGGCTTCTCCTTGGAGTCAAGGATTCTGAAGCTTCGTCTGACATACTTTGGGCATGTTGCTAGGAGGGACTGGTCGCTGGAGAGGGACAACATGTTTGGGAGGGTGGAGGGATGGCGCAGGAGAGGAAGACCCTTGAGATCGATCTCTTCAGTGACTGGGGTGGTGAGAGCAGGTGTGTCGGAGACAGTGAGGCTGGCACAGGATAGAGCAGGGTTTAGGGCTCTTGTACATAGGGTCGCTATGAGTCACAAGCAGCTCGATGGCACAGAACAACAACCTGTAGGGTCAGTGGATGCTGGACGCAGGAGAGCCTCACGATTGGTAGTGGGACGAGCAGAAGGAAGTGACGGGGCACGGAGGACACGTCTGACCTCATAGGAATCGGTTCTGTGTTGCTGACAAGGACATTTTAGTTCAAAATGGACTGTACTGAAGGAAAGCAAACCCCACCTCTAGGACACGCGTGCCTCTTGTCCACACTGCGCCAATCCAGTTCTTGGAGCCACCAATGACTCAGCTTAAGCAAGTGTTGACTAAGTCTGGTCAAGACAGAGGAAGAGAGAGGCTGTGGAGAAACCTAGCAGCGATGAGGAAGTGAAAAGGCCAACTTCAAAGGAACGTGAGCAGAGGATCGGGGAGGGGGGAACACACACACAAGAGCAGCCGAGAAAGTGAGGGACCCGGGAAAGACCCAGCCAAGTAGCCAAACAAAAGGCAAACCTGGATGCCACTGAGACTCCAGCTACACGTTACCTCACACCCCACTAGGAAAGGAGAGGCGTGCCTGGCTAGCACAATGGTGAACTCTCAGCTGCCAACCCAAAGTCAGGAGGTTCAAGTCTATGCAGAAAAGCCCCATCAGTCACTGGAAACATCCTACAGAGCCTTGCACCAACAAACAGCTCCTGGGGCCTGGCTGTTCACAGTCACGGTTTCACGGGACATCCAGTTAGCTGACCTAATATGTAATAGTGTGATATTTCTGTTCTACTTCCAGTTAATTACGTAGTGCCCAGGGTCCTAAGAGCATATAAGCCGCAATCTAAGGCACATTTGGCCTCAGTTCATCTAGAGCTACAGAGGAAGGAAGGCGGAGACGAGGGCGATGTGGGGTGTGCCCACCTTCCTCCATCAACAACGGCTCCCTCTGTCACAGATGAGAGGAGCTGGGTGGTGCCCAACAGCAAGACTGGACACTCTGATCAAAGATTCTGTAGAAGAATCCTGATCAAGAAGGGAAACAGGCAAAGCAGAACTTCACATTCCCTGGGCTACAGACTCGCTCGAGCTTTCGAAGTTGGACACACTATCTGAGATTCCCACGAGGTCTTAACCCACAGACATCCTCGGCTGTCTTCCCAAAGCCAAACCAGATTAGCTCAACCAGTGAGAAACATCTACCTTGGGCATTTAATTCGTTTAAGAACTCTATGGGGTCACCCTGACAAGCGCAACCTGAAGAATGGGAACCTTAGGGAGCAGAGAATTTATGTTCCGAAAAGGAGGTGATAAGGCTGCACCACTCAGAGGGTGCCCCAGGGTCCACTGACTGCCCAGCGTGGAACCTTGAATTGATGCATGTTCTGCTGTGACCACTCCCAATGACAAGAAAAACTAGACAAAAGACAAACGAATGAACAAGGTGTCTGCGGCACACAGCTGTCCTGACACATAGGACAGCCAGGCTGGGAGCCGGCCCACTGGCACCGAGCTTCGTTTCTCCCGCTCCATGAAAAGGAAATCCTGTTACAGAGGGAAGCAGCGGCTGGAGAAGCCAGGTCTCCAAATAGATGAACCAACATCTAATCAAACTGACGGTCACACAGAGTGCCACCTAGTGACGGAGTGAGGACGTGCGACAATCCTCTCAAAACTCACTCAGAACTAAAACCAGCCTCCTCTTACGTTGTTGTGAAGCTGGAACAGACTCGGAGCTGAGCCCCCAGCAGCTTTTCAGAGACCGTAAACCACACCAGAAGGGACTGCTCAACCTCCGCCTGCAGAGCAGGTGGTGAATTTGAACCACCCGCCTTTGGGGTCACAGTGTGGCTTCTCACTGGGAGGCCAGCAGACACTCCCATACTGCAGTGAAATCATACACCACCACACTGGCCATGTCAGCGGTCGTCATGTGCGCGACCAAGGAAGCTCTGGCGGACGAGCATGTGGGCAGCTGTGCTGCTGGAGGCCCATCTCCCCGGGGCCTTGAACTCTGGAGCCGCTCCACAAGGGAAGTTGGACAATCACCTCCTGCACAACTCACAGCGCTGCAAACCCACTGGAGAGGCAGCTAGGCTTGGTTCTGATTCCGCAACATGAAAGCTTTTAGTACGACACAGTCAATGATTATGGAACCAGCAACCTCTTTAAAGTGCTGAACAGCAAGGATGTCACATTGAGGACTAAGGTGCACTTAACCAAGCTACTGTATTTTCCAGAGCCAAGAAGAACTGATGTCCTTGAACTGTGGTGTTTCTGAAGAGTATTAAATCCACCATAGATTGCCAAAACACATCTGTCCTGGAAGAAAACTCAGCCAGAGCGTTCCTTAGAAATGAAGTCGCTGACTTGGGGATGCTGTCAGGAGAGGCCAGTCCCCAGAGAAAGACAGCACGCTGGGACAGGAGCTGGTAGGTGAGAAAGAGCAAGACTCTCAGAGACAGCATAGGCACCGCGACAGCAACAAAGGGTTTAAGTACAGCAGCGACTATAGCACCGTGCAGGGCTGGGCAGGGTTTCCTGTCAGACTTGGTTGCTCTGAGGTGGAACACCCACAACACAAAAACATCAGTTACACGCCCGAATCGTGCAACTATCGCCTCCATATCCACTCTGATTTTTCAGCTTCTCCAGATGGAAACGCAAGTTGCCTTAAGCAGTTCCTTCTCTCCTCTGGCCCACTATTTAAAGAGTCAAAACAGTGCCCCACGCACACATCCAGCTCAGACTCACCAACTTGGAAACTGTCCTGCAGAAATAAGGGTTTCCTGCCATGTTTTCTCAAATGAAATGAGCTTTTTAGTGTTATTATTACTGTAACTGGAAAGCACTCCGTCTCTTGCAATCATACCCTGGTTAGCAAACGCTAAAGCACAAATTCACTGTCGTCGAGTTAGTGTGGATTCACGGGGTAAATGCCTGCCTTTTCCTGCAGAGCTGCTGGTGGATTCGAACTGCTGGGCACGAGAGTCCTTGGGGCAAGCAGCGCAGCAGGCCACAGATCGCACCACCTCTGGGCCCTGCCGACGCTATGCTGGGGAGAGGCGGCAGAGAGGCCAGCTCCCAGCACCGGGGCTGGGCGCAGTAATCCCCATGGACTCTGGCACTGTGGCCCTCACGTGTGGGGGGCTGCCCGACGTCCCTCCACTTCTGAGGGTCTAGTGGCCGCCTATCGTTTGTAAAGCCCAGGTAACAAATACAACTTCTTCCTCTCCAGGGATACTTACTGATAATCTGTCCGGCCGGCAACATCTGCGCCCCAGTGTTGTTGGGGGAGAGGGCTGAGGGAGACAGAGAGAGTAAGCAAGGGGACCCCAGCTCTCCATCCCCTACCCCACGGGAGCTGATGCACAGGCAGGACCAGGAGATCGGGTCTCACCCCTCCCCCTTCCCCCTTGTGTGCATGCGCTCACGGTAGCATTGCGGGAAGCCTGCAAAGCCCTCTGCGCAGGTGTTGCAGCGCTCCCCGGTGAAGTTGGGGCGGCAGTAGCAGCGGCCGGTCAGGTCCTCACATGTGCCATCCGTGAAGTCGGATTCACAGTCACAAGCTGGCAGGAGACGGCGCAAGGAGGTGGGACCCCAGCCCAGGGTCTGCATCTCCGCTGTGGCTAGGGTTCCCCAGAGTTAGAGGTACCCCAAGAGAAGACCCTGGGACACCCTGCCATCCAAAGTTGGGACACCCACATCCAGAGACGGTCACCCACAGAGGCTCTGGGACACAGGGACGCCCCACATGCAGCTCGCCCACTCACGTCGGCAGGCGCGGGGCGAGTCCAGTGGATGATCGGGGGAGCGGTAGAAGCCGGGCAGGCAGCGCTCACAATTGATGCCAGTGGTGTGGTGCTGAGGGGGTGGGAGTGCTGAGTCCAGAACACCCAACCCCCAGGTGCCCCAGGCACACCTCACCGTCACCCACACCTGACCCCCATCAGACCCTGCCCCGAGGCCTCCTCTGCAGACCTGGCGCCAAGTCTCACCTGACAGTCGATGCAGACGCCCCCTCCCTGGTAGACGTGGTCCTGGTTCTGGCTGGCATTCTGCCGGTCCACCTCAGGGTCGTAGTAGCAGTCAGAGGCATGGCCATGACAGTTACAGGCTGCAGAGGAGGGACTCGGGCCTTCATGTGTGCCCCCTGGGACCCCAGCGCCCTGATTTCCCTCCTGACCCGTGACCCACTCTGCCGCCACTGGGTGTGTCCTTGTACATTCCTGTGCACATGCGCCTCTCAGAGCATATGTCTCTGTGCATGTATTTGCAAGTATGTGCACATACATGCGACTCTGTGCATACCTGCGCGTAGACATCTGTGTGTAGATGTATGTCCCTGTATGCACTGTGCATGTGCCTTACGTGTGAGCATGTGTACATACAACTGTGTGCATCTGTGCCTGTGTGTGCACATCTGTGCCTATACATGTGCGGTGTGCGTGGGTGCAAGTGTGTGAGCATGTGTGCACGCCTGTGTAAGTGCATGTACACGTGTGCATATCTGTGCCTGTACGTGTGCTTGGGGTGGTTATGTAAGTGTGTGCACACCCGTCTTGTGCAACCCCTCGAGAGCTGCGGAGGGCACTCACACTGGCACTCATTGGCACTGTTGGTGGTGGCTGGTCGCCATGGCCGCTGGTGGAATCCGGGGCAGCACTGGTCACAGGACCCTCCACACGTGTTGTGCTGGCAGGCACACTGCAGCCTGTGTGGACACCGTGTGGAGACACCATGGGGCTCATGCCACCACGCACCCCGGTGTACTCTGTGACATCACAGGACATAAGAATGGCAGGTCCTCGGTCCTGACCCCACCACTGCTGACCCGCCATGAGGGGCTGAGCTCCTCTGCCCTCCCCGACTATGGTTTCCTGAGCTGTCCAGGCCTCAGCACCTGCACCGTCCCTGTGACTCCATCCTCATCCTCGTGTGATGGGCACCCAAAGTGTCAAAACCCTCCCTGGACAAGCTGTGAAGGGGGCACAGTCTCTAACAGCAGGAACTGTGTGAACCTCCTGGACGGTAGAACTGCAGAAGGGCTATGCGCACGCAGAGGCTCAGACAGGCCATCTCGGCCAGAACAGGTGGCCCCTGCAGCAGGTCAGTGTGGAGCTCTGGGCTCTTCCGGACTGAGCTGAGCTCTTCCTGCTGTGGTCAGCTCAAGGTCCCTCTCTGGAGCCTACATCAGTCAGTCAGCCCCCTGAACCCAGTACAGCTCCCCAGGGCAAGAGGCCAAAAACTGCTTCCTCCTCCAGCCAGAGTGGACACTAGGTGGGAATCCTGTCTGTTGTCCCCAAGGGCAGCGTCTACCAGCTCAGGGAGCGGAGGACAGAGGGTCAGAGATGAGGACTGAGGTTGTAGCTGTCTGGTGCTCAGAGTGAACTTGGCTGTCCGTGCCAAAGCTGCTGGCACAGCTCTCCCCCGGCCTGGCCAAGGTGGGGCAGGAATTCCAAACCCATCCTCAGGCTCTGACTGACTCTCTGCCCCTGCCCAGTCCCAAGGCTTGGGGATGTCCTTGGCAGGCCCAAACACCAGTCCACACAGGGAGGCCGAGACCCTCGTGGCTTCTGTCTGGTGTTTGAACTTTCAGTAACCAACATGGTCAGCTTGCCTCTAAGCCAAGAAATTAACATTAAAAGTTGGTGATGCCCAGGAGACTTTGTCAGAAGCTCCTGAAAAACTACTCTAGAGGGAGCGTTGGAAATACAGACAACGGTGGAGTCACATGGATAAAACCTTGCTAAGTAATGTCGAGGAGCGCTTGTGGCTTAGTGGTAAAGAGCTGCACTGCCAACCCAAAGGCACACAGTTCGCATCCACGGCTCCACAGGAGAAAGATGGGAAGTCTCTTCCCATGCGATTAACTGCCTCCAAAAACTTGCTGGAGGGTCAGCTATGAGTCACTTCTGACTGGACGGTATGCCACCACCACCACAAAGCATATAATGCAACAGATAAAACAAAAACAGGAAGTAACCTGCATTAAACACCATTTAGTGACGCAATCCAAGAGAAAGCATAAAATGACATGCTTGAAATGATCAGCACAACAATTCAAGACAATAGAAACACTATGTTCTGGAAAACAGGCAAATAAGGGTGGGGTGGAAACCCTGTCAAGACATATATAAATTAAAAATAATTACGGAAATGAAAGATTCCATGGATGGGGTAAACAGATTATTCACAAGTAGCGAGATTGCGTAAATGGGAGAAAACTGAAGAAACTACCTGGGGGGCAGCTCAGAAGAAAAGTGGATGAAAAGTCTAAATTACAATAAAAGAACATCCCTGGAAGGTCTCATCTCTTCCCTCGATCTGGGGAGAAGGTGAGTGGCGTGGTAACTAAAGGTGTGAGTGGTCTCACGCTATAAACACACACATGCTTGGGGTGGGGAGCCCTCAATAAGGTAAGTCTGTTCCTTCACATCAGAGTAACTTTGTAGAACATCAAAAGCAAAGGGATCATAAAAACATCCAAAAGAAAGGCAAGCTACAGAAGATAGTGGGTCCAGTGACAGGGGGACCTTTCCAGCATCAAGAGACAGACGTAAGACGACAGTGAGATAATATCTCCAATCTGAGATAACCATCAACTACAGAGAATCCTGCAGCCAGCTAAATGATCCTTTAAAAAGTGACAGAAAAAACTGGATAAATTATGTATATTGTATTGAAACAGATGAGGGAAAGAACAGATTAGAAGTGATACATGATTGAGTATTATGGTTAGCACAGGAATCCAGAATTAAGGTTGCATAGAGAAGTGTACTAGGGGTGGGGGGTGGGGGGAAGGGACGTGGGAATTGTATACTAATGAAGGAATTTTTTTTTTCTCTCTTTGGAGGGGGAAGCGAGCTGGTGGGGAGGGGTGGGCAGGGAGAAAATTGCGGCAATGAATGAATGGAAATCCAAAACCTCTGTAAAAAAAAAAAAACCATAAAAAAAAAAGTGACGGCAAAGCAAAAAGTTTTCTAGACAATTACTAATAAACCTTGGAAAGATCAACTCCAGGATGCATTTCAGGAAGAACCTTCATTTATGCGCTGTGAGGTCAGGAGCAGCAGAGAGCAAGGGAGAGGTGAACCAGTGCAGGTGACGCTAACAGAGTCAGGCTGCTAATGGGGTGAGAGTTAGTATGTTCAGGTTCTGGCCACTCAGGCAGCAGCACAGATGGTTCTGTTTGGATTTGGTTATGTTAAGAACACCTAGGAGAGATCTAGTGGGGATCTGAAAAGACAGGGTGACAGTGGGCACAGATCAATGATGATTCATTTTATAAAACAGTATGGAAATGATTGTATGAAACATGACAAGACTGTGTGAGACACAATGTACTTAAAGGAAACACAATGTATACAAACTTTGTGTGCAAACCAATATGAAACTTTTAAAAAACCAAACAAAAAATAGTTAAGTAGTAAACAGAGTAGAAGAGAAAGTCACAACGGAAACAAGATGTACAGCTTCCAAGGTGATGGTTGTTCAGTGCTGTCCCGTCAAGTACGACCCATAGCAAAGCCATAAATAGCAGATCGGAACCCAGTCCTGTCCTGTGCCATCCTCACTCTTCCTGACACATTGTGGCAGTCACTGTATTACTTCACCTGCTTGAGGATCTTCTCCTTCGCCAACCCTCTGCCTTTCCAAGCATGATGTCCCTCTCCAACAAATGACAGTGGAGGTGGTGATGATGGGGGTGATGATGGGGTGATGGCTGTGATGGTGGAGGTGGTGATGATGATGGTGTGATGGCTGTGGTGGTGGTGGTGGTGATGACGGTGGAGGTGGTGATGAGGGGGTGACAGTGGGGTGATGGTGGTTATGACGGTGGAGGTGGTGATGAGAGGGTGATGGCGGTGGTTATGACGGTGGAGTGCTGCTGCTGACGGGGTGGTGGTGGCGACAGAAGTAATGGCGGGAAGGTTGTCACAATGAACGCAGTAGTGTTGAAGCTGATGGTGATTTAAATGGTAGAGGAGGAAAGGTAGTGGGGTGGTGACAAAAATGGTGACAATGCTGGTGATGGTGGCAATGGTAATGGTGATAGTGGAGGTAAAGAGACAAGATACAAGGCAGCTGGAAATGGAGAACCCCTGGAACAGAGGCAGCAAACTGAGGGAGAGTGTGGGTGGGCCAGTGTCCAGGATGCTGGCATGAGACAGGCCTTGGTGACAGGGCTTCTGTTGGTGTTTATGGTACTAGGAGAGATACCAAGCTCACGCAGTTATGCGCTGCATGTGAGCTGAGCCCAGCCCATGTTCAGGCACAAGGCCACCAGGGTGATGGCGATGCCTCCCAGCAGGCGAGGACAGACCCCCCACTCAGCTCGAGGCCTTCTCTCCTTGGCCAATTTGGCTGCCCCAATGGGCTCCCCTCCCAGTGCCTTGAACGCACTCATCCTTGGCACCTCATTTCCTCAGACAGATGAGATGAGCTTGAGTAGGGCAGGCTGAAGCCACTGAGGCCAGACAGGCTGGGAGGGCCTTGGGCGACCAGCCGCAAGATGCCTCTCGCTCTGTGTCACAGCCTCTCAGCTGCCGGGCCACATCAAGAGGTTTGGGGCTCACTTCCTGGGCCCCACTCTGGTAGGACAGAGATGAACTTCCATACCTTTGGGGTTTTTCTTGCTTTTCCCCTAAAGTGGGAGGATGATAGCACAACAGGAACCCCAACACACAAACAGCAGTCTCACACCCAACTGTGCAGTTTGGGACTATTTTCAACCTACCAGCCCCCCTGGGGGTGCCAGGTCTGTCACACATCTGTAGTCTCTGCCAGCTTTAGCACCTTTGCAGTGCCCAGCACTGTTGGAGACTTCACCAGCTTCCCTAGTCACATGTACTCTCAGGCTGGGGAGTCCTACCTGGTGCCCAAGTGCTGGAACAGAAGCCTGCCACACACAGTGCATGGACAGGACACCCTGGCCGGAGCCAGCCCGGCCCTCAGTATCTTATCACTAGGCTTAGTGCCTGCTGGCACAGGCAGCCTTAGAGGGCACCACCATCACCATCACCATCACCATCACCACCATCATCACCACTACCATTATCACTACCATCAAAACCACCATCACCACCATCACCATAATCCCTGGCATCTCCTACTCTACCATCCTTCATGGTCTCTGCTCTCTCCCACCATCACCGGCACCTCAGGGGATGATGCAGGGAGGATGGTCAGGCACTAGCCATGCAATGAAGGACCTGAGCAGTAGGAACTTCATGTTGGAGGCCAGCCACTTCATGTCAGAGGTCAGGGCTCCTGACTCTGAGCCCCGACTGTGCTTGTCACTGCCCCAGCCTTGGTCCCCACCTTGGCTGGAGACAGGAGAAGCAGGGCATATGGCCTGTGAGGTGAGAGACATCAGGGACCTAGGTAAGCAAAGAGCTATTTGCCCTCCCGAGGGCACCTGGCCCAGGGTGGTCCCCTCCACTCAGCACTTACTTCCCCTCAGGAAAGGGCTTGGGGCCGTGATGAGAGCCTCTTGACTGGGAGCGGGGCGCATGACCCACCCTCCGCCTCCCTACATGGGGAAGCTGAGACCCAAGAGGTGCAGTCGGTGTAGGTCACAGACAGCAGGGATGTGAGGGGCACTGGGTCTGGCTCCAGCCCTAGGCCTGGCAGAGACAGTGAGGGCAGCAGGTGGCCTCTCCGCCAGGCCAGTCAGAGCAAGGAGGTCGAGGCAGCAGGAGAGAGGTAGTGTCTTACCTGTAAGGGTCTGTGGGGTCTTTGGCATCACAGACGTCTGCGTGGCCATGACAGACACAGCGGCCTCCGACGCTGATGTCCTTGATGCTGTAATAGTACTGCAGCCACCGTCCCCATGAGCACCACAGACACAGCCTACCCACTTGATCCCAGAACCCCCAGCACTCCAGCCCCCACATGGCCGCTCACCCGCTGGGTGACCACGGGGTTCTGCAGTGTCCCCAGGCCCCAGGATCTCCCAAAGCCCTGGAGCTCCAGTCTGTACCCTCAGCCCCCAGGTGAATGCTCACCCGCCGGGTGACCGTGGGGTCCCTCAGCGCCTTGCCCATGAGATGGCCCAGGAGTGTGTTTGTCCGAAGGAAGCGAAGGCGGATATTTGTGGCCTTGGTGAAGTCACGCAGCAATGGTGAGTAAGAGAAGTTCATAGCGCCCGGACGTCCGTTCACTAGGGACACCACGACCTGCAGACAGGCAGGCAGGGTGGGACCCTGAGTGACGAGGGCCTCCTGGGAGGGGGCTGGTGGCAGAGGTGCCTGTGGGCAGGACTCTGCTGATGGACACAGCCGCCCTGCCCTGCCCCCATCCCGCCCCTCACTCCCCCCTCCAACCTGCCCCCTGCCCCAGCTCACTTCACCGTTCTCCAGGGGCACAATCCGCGAGTACTCAGTGGTGCAGATGACATCATCATCCTTCGTGATGCGATCCAGTGTCCTGGGTCCAAACTGCTCTAGACAGTCTCTCTCGGAGGCTGGGGACAGGGCGACCAGAGGAACCCGTGGGTGTTTATGTCCCCTCCTAACAGGACACTCCACAACTGCCCCCGGCCCATGGCAAAGGATCACTCAACTGGAGCACCCCAGTCATGGCCCCCAGGACCAGCCAGGATGGGCACAGGATCGGAGGCCTTGGTGCTGGGACGCTGGTCCCCTGGCACAGAGGTGCTCCTGGCTCCAAGGCCTTCATGGTGCTGGCGCCCACAGCCCTGACTTTGGTCATGCCAGTGCATTTCCACCTGCCCTCAAGGACTCTGAGAGTGTGTTACACCCAAAGCCCTGGCCAAAGCGGAGGCTGGAGCCCCAAGACCTGGAGGAAGCCTCGCAAGGCAGCCCTTCCCTGGCTGCCCCAAACTTACAAGCAAAGTACTGCCATGGCTGGTAGGTGCGGCCGAAGTCCGTGGACCGCTCGAGCACCCAGAGATCCGGCCGAGGGGAGTTGGCGAACTTGATGAGCACATAGGCCACGTGGAAGACCTGTGGGGGGGAAAACGTGGGCAGTAGGGCACTAGGGGCCCTGCACACCGGTGCCCAGACCACTCATCCCCCAGAGGGCCCAGGACCACAGCAGAAGATTCCCAAGGAGTTCCCAGGGGGGCTCCCCAGGCCCCCTAGGCTCTGACCTTGTGTAGGACACAGATGAGCCCAAGTGGTGGGCAGCTGGGCTCAGGGGCCACCCCTTGACCCAGTGACCCCAAGGCAGCATTCAGAGAAGAGACCCACCTGTCCCTGCGCCCACCTCGGAGCCCAGGGCTGACAGTCCAGCTCCGTGGGGCCAGGACGGGCTGGTCACCATGAGGGTCTCACATCGACAGGGGGGCCAGACAAGGAGGACATGAAGCTGGGTCATGCTGTGCCCAGTTCTGTGGTGACCGGCCAGCCCAGAGCAATGGCCAGCTGCCCCTAGCCACAGATGAGGCCACCTTGACCCAGTACTGCAGTCTATGAATCCCTGTTCCTGTCAGTGGTCACAGGTTCTAGACCCCACTCCCACCTTCCCCCCTATTGATAGGGCGGCAGGAATTGGCCCAGCCAGGAAGACAGATGGGGTAATGGGCCACCAGAGCTTTCTGTGGTCAGAGCGATGGGGTTGACGGGGGTCAGTGTGTGCATGAGGTCACCACAGTATGGACACCAAGGGGCACTGCTGACTAGACAGAGGGGCAGGTACTGGGGGGAGGGGCCACGAACGCTCAGACGAGGGACTCAGAACCCTCTGTACCCTTGGGCCTCAATCTATCTGGGCCCCTGGGGAAAGGACCCTTCCAGAACCTTCCACTCTCACCCCAGAGGCTTGTTCTCTGCAGCTGGCACCGTGGGACCATCAGCTGTGCTGACCAGGCCTGACCTGGTCACCCCTCCTTCCTGTAGCCACTACCCTGTGAAGGTCCCCAACCCTTCAGAGCTCCAGCCTCGGGAGGGGCAGCTGCAGTTTCTCCAGGCGGGTGAGGTCCCAGCGCCCTGAGTCCGAGTCAGCCGCACCTGCTGGTGTCAAAACCCTGAGGGCAAGGGAGCTCTCTGGTGGACTGGTGGCAAGAAGCTGCACCACAATCCCAGGGGCACGCGGTTTGAATCCACCAGATGCTCTGCCGGAGAAAGAGGGCAATCTCCTCCTGTACTCGACAGATCTGATTTGACGGTACACACACACACACAAAATTTAAAAACAAATAAATTTAAAAAACCAAACCCGGAGGGCAGAGGCCTGGCTCTGAATAAGTCTCTGGAATGGGAGCAAATGCCCAGACAGCACAGGTGGGGAACCTTGCTAGCCTTGGGGGCCAGGATGGGACCCTCTACCAGCCTGGCCCCTCAACTGACAAGGTGGATTCCTGGGGAGTTTGATGCTGGAGAGGCAGAGTAAGCTGAGTGAAGAAAACTGGGGGCCCATCCCACCTCCCTGAGTGCCCCGCCCCCGTCCTGTCTGTGTCTTCCTCATCTTGGCTGTCCCCCCAGCTGCTATCCACCCCCCCCATACCTTCCTCATCCTCGTTGCCCTCTCCCTAGCCCTGCCAAGCCCTCCCATGCCAGCGGCATTTTTCTCCGCTGAAGATATGTGCACAAATACTGATGGAAGACGCAGACCGGCCAGGCCGAGGGCAGAGTGGACACCCCTCCGCTGGCATGCGGGGGTGCACTAAGACCGCCTTCTGCTTGTTCATCCCCCAGACCAGGGTCAGGCGCTGGAGGACGGGAGACTTGCGTGGCCTGTGTCTCTGTGCCCGGGGTCACTATGCCCACCCTCTGCGAGGCCCAGGACCTGGCTTGCCCCTCCCTGCTGCCCCTTGGCCGCCCGCCCACATGGAGCTGACCTTTCCTACTGCCGAGCCCTGTGCTGAGGGAAAAATGTCTTTTAAAGCAAAAAGCAAAACAAAAGCTGGCCGAGTTATTTTTAAGATCTGCTATTTTGAGGTGGGCACGTCTCCAGGACAGCAGCCTGGCCAGCCTCCGGCCACTGCGCCCCCTGCTCCCCTGCCTGCCTGGCCAGCAAGGGTCTGCCCCAGTAACCTGTCTGAGAGGCCTTAGAGCGACCACTCCCTTGCTGTGCAATGGGCAGTGCAGAGAGTCCAAAGACAGAGAACAGGGCAGAGGGTCAAGGGGTTGGCAGGAATAACTACAGGGGGCAGTGTGGAGGTGGGTGCTTACAGGCCACCTGGGCAGGAGGTGAGCTGGTGGGCACTGGGTGGCACACCTTGCTCTAGCTGGCAAGGCAAGTGGGTTGGCACCCAGAGGTCCTGGCTCCCTCTGGGAGGTGAAGCAGAGAGTAAACCAGTGGGTCCAGCAGCCACCAGAGGCCAAGAACTTATGTCATCAATGGGTGGACAGGCCAGTACTGGAGGCCTTGAGGCCAGTGCCTGGGAGAGGGCATCAGGGCTCACTCCCAGCTCTGTCCTGGCTGGCCCAGTGTAAGGAGACCAAGGCCAAGCCTGGGGCCAGCCGCTCTGCCTGTACTTAGAGCCCAACCCCCACCTGCTGGGCGGTGTGAATGGTCTGTGACTCAGTGTGGCCGGCCGGAAGGAGGGGCCCAGAGCCAATTCTCGTGGACAGATGGGGGTCTAGGCGGTGGCTGGCCAGAGGCAGGAAGCCCCTCCTAGGCCCAGGCAGCCGGCCAGTTCCCTGACCACGCCTTTAGACCAAGTGCTGGGCACCGCACCCCCATAGTATTGGGAGCCGGGCAGGGCAGGCCCCGACTGAGCAAATGGGCCCATGGACCCACGGGGACAGGCACAGTACAGGAGGTGGCATGAGAAGTCAGGCAAACAAAGCACACAGTCACCGAGTGTTGGGAACTCCAGCTCTGTGGGGTGGGGGCTGGCATGTGAGGAAGGGCCCCTGATGGGCGTGCAGAAGCTCATGGTCAGAAGGGACAGCTGTCCAGCCTGGGCAATGTCCTGTGTGTCCCCAGGACCTCCTGGTACTGGGCCAGAGAGACATGACACAGACCTTGTTGGCAGCTGGCCCTTGTCCATCTCAGTGGATGACTCTTGAGGCTCCCCACCCTCCTCCCTGCAGCCAGGCCCAGGACAGGTCCAGATGGTCAGCTGGGGTCACAGGAAGGGGAGTTTATCCCAAGGGGACCCCGTGGCCCAAGCGAAACCCAAACAGTTTAGTCTCTGCCAGGCAGGTCCTTATGGACAGTCCTTGTGGGAGGCCAGGTCAGCTGGTTCAGAGGGATAGAGAGAGGAGCCTTGGGGGGACTGGGGGTGCGTGAGGCAGCAGGGGTATCTGTGTGCACAAAGTGAGAAGAGATGGGTGTGCTGGGACAGGCCCCATCCTGTGTCTGCTAAGCTCAGGATAGCCCGGTGGTCTCGCTGGTTCTTGGGTCCAGTCAGCAGGACCTCACGTTGCCCACAAAGGCACCCAGCAGGTGCCATGTCCGGCCCAGCCCCGCACCTGTCCCAGCTTGGGCACTGTAACCAGAACACCCTGAGCTGCACTTCCTGCTGCTGCCCTGGCCAGCTCGGCTGTCTCCCAGGGCGCTGGCCACAGGGCTGGGCGCCAGCGGGCCCAGAGGCCAGGCCAGGCTCAGCTCACACTGGACCAGGCTAAGGGACTGAAAACAGGGACGTGCAGCCCTCAAGATGAAGGCAGGATGGGGCCACAGGCAAGATGCTCTGGGGTGCATGCAGGGCATCAACACCAGTTCAGGGATCCAGCCACTCCGCGGAACTTGCCTTCCAGGAAGCCTCTGCCTCAGTTTCCCTACATGTCCGGTGCTTTAGTACCTCCTCTCCCCTTCCCCACCCTGAGCCGAGGACCAGATGACCACTCTACCTTCCTACCACCCCTGCCCTAGCTTAGTCTCCCTCACCCCGACCTACCACTGACAAGCCCCCATCTGTGCCCACCCACAGCTGTCCATGGTCACTCCTCACACCCTCAATGACCACAGTGGCTTCTCATCCCAGGGACTTCACCCTCAATCACCATGGTCACCCCTCACTGTCCCCCGGGTGGCACACCCCTCATCTGGCATTTCTAGCAACCATCCAGCCCACACCCATACTGTCCTTCACACCTCTGACAAGGCACTGTCCTCAGCCCCATCCGCAGACTCCACATGCGCATGGACGCCCTGTCAGCGGAAGGGCGGCCACTCCCTGGACACTGGGTGGGACAGGGGGCTGCCTGGGAGAGCCCTTCCCGCACCTGGGTGAGGCTGCCCACTGGACCTCTCAGCCCCAGGACTTCCGGAGCAGACAGCGAGATAAGAAAGGATCCTATCAGTGTCCTGTGGGACCCACCCCCCAGGAGCCCGGCAGCGAAGAGGCTCCCAGGCCCTCACTCGGACCACGCCCCACAGTGTCAGAGGCCCCAAGACCATAGACAATGCAAGACAGCGGTCCAGCGCCCTGACCTCAGCAACCAAGGTGACCCCTCACATTGGAGGCCTCATCCTGGACTTCGCCGGCCTCCGTCACTCTGAGGAGACTGACACATGGGTGTCCTGTGGTCTCCTCCTCATCCTGAGGCCTCACCTCCCCCTCCCCCAGCTTCAGATCTTCCATATCCTAAATGGGAAAAAGTCTAGCAGCCCTGCTCTCAACTGGGACAGGAAACAGTCAGACGGAGGAGGCCTGACCCAAAAAGGGTAGGAGCAGGTTCACAGCTGAGGGTCCCTCTGAGGCCCCAGGGGTGCCTGCAAGCTCCCGGCCAACAAGCAGCGTGGGAAAGCCCTGTGAGGGGCAGGAAGCCCTCCTGATGCCCAGTGCCAACTGCCCAGCCCACCCTGCTTCCCAAAGCATCCGTTTGAGAGTCTAGAACAAAGGCTGTTGGCAGCTGTCTCCACCTGGGGCCTGCTCCCTGGAAGTTGCAGACTACACCAGAGAGTCTCAGGCTTGGGGCCCCCCATCTCTGCCACTGCTTGCCCTGGGGACAGCCTGGGGACAGGACTGTGAGCCCCAGCCATCCCAACACTGGACCTGTGAGGTTCAGATGCAGACCCCAGGGCCACCTTGTGGGCGGGCTGGTGGGGCTCAGCCTCCCCGAAGAGCTCCAGCTCATGTGACCTTCACCCTAAAGGCCTCATTTCAGCCTTCTCTCCTCTCCCAGGCAGGGCTGCCGTGTCCTAGGCAAGCAGAAGGCACCCCAAGGACTCAGCTGCCATCCGCTGACCCCAGGGGGAGGACGGAGAACAGGCACGTGCTCCCTGCTAAATGGGAAGAAAGTGAAAGTGGGAAATTCCAGTGGAATCTCATGACCTTCAGGAAGCCTCTGCCTCAGGCAAGGCGCTTGTGTGCTGGAAACTTACTTCAGAGCCTCTGCTCCACGCGCAAAAAAAGACACCGTGCTGGGAAGGCGGATGGTCAGTGAGAGGAAGACCCTCCGAGATGAAGTAACACGAGGGCTGTGTCAGGGGGTCCAGCACGGCGAGGGCATGAGGATCCCCCAGGACAGGATGAGCTTCCTGTCGTTTGTGGGGTCACTGTGTCTTAGTCAACTCAACTGCGCCTGACAGCAAGAAGCAGGCACAGGGACGCCACGGCAGGGGCTACGGTCATCTGGCTGGTGGCTGCTCGGAGGCAGAAGCCAGGTGAGGCCGCCGGTGTCCACAGAGATCAAAGCCCGGAGCCCCTGCGCAGTTCTCTGCCCTCCAGTCCCCAGTGCAGGGCACTTCCCTGCCAGCCACCGTGGCTCAACAGCAAGGAGTGTATTCGGACAGGCCGCCCCGCTCAACCCTCAGCAGAGGCTGACGACTAGTCCCAGGCTCCCCCTGTCCCACTTTAACCAGCGGTCCCTTGACCCAAAACAAGATAAAGCCTTAGATTTACCCACAAGTGAAGCAATGGATGGATGGTGTATGAGCAGGAGGGTGGACGTACAGGTAGATGATAGACCACTGGGTGCATGTATAGCTGGACGGATAGACTGACAGACAGGTGAGTTGATGGGGGGGGGTGGGTGTATGAGAGAGAGTGAGTGTGGGAGCGAGTGAGTGGATGGTAAAGTGTCAGGATGTACAGACTGACCACTGGGTGCATGTATAGCTGGACAGACAGACTAGCGGAAGGATGGATGGGTGGATTGGTGGATGACAGGGTAGTTGGGGGGGGTAGATGAATAGATGAATGAGTGGACACTTGTGTAAGTGGGCGTATGGGTGACTGGATGGGTGCGTAGATAACTGACTGCATATATAACTAGTAGATGAACGGACAGACAGGTGGGTACACGGGCGGTGGGACTCCTACGAGGCACTGAGAAGTTCTCTCGTCTGGAGCCTTGGAAAGCATGTTGCCCCGGGGAAGCCCTCTTTCTGATGGAAAAGCCTGTAAAGCAATTCGCTCATTGTTGATTCAGGGCTGGATCAAAGCTGAGCCTCAGTGACTTTTCCAAGGCCGTAAACCGTGCAGGGGGAGACTGCCCATCTTTCTTCTGCGGAGCTGCTGGTGGTTCAGAGTGGCCCTGGGTCAGCAGGGCAACCCCCCCCCCACCTGCCCACCGTGGGCTGGGCCATGAGAGCCCCCTCCATGCAGCAAAGCAGCCCCCAATTTGCTCAGAGGTCACAGGCCCATTTTCCAGATGTGAAGCCCAAGGCTCAGAGGGGCCTCAGGGCCAGCAAGAGTATAGCCTCCAGCTGTGAGGCCCCCTGCTCGCCTCAACCATTTGTATATTGGGCACTGTGCCCACCTGCTCTGCAGCCACCCAGGGTTGCCATGGCGATGGGTCATTGTGTGCAGGACTGGAGCCCTCTCCTGTTCCAGACCAGCCTGTCCTCGGAGGAAGGCGGGGAGGAGGAAGCACAGTTGTGCACAAGGGCCCTCTGGCCAGTGGGGTGAGGACAGGCAGCCACACACAGTCCCCACAGACCCCCAATTGTGGTCAAAAGGGAAGGCCTTCTGGAGGGTGCCCAGAACTGGTGGGGCCCCTCCAGGCCTAGCACAGTGAGGCGGGGGACGCTGGGTCAGGTGACTATGGGAACCAGCAGTCCCTCCCACCCCAATCCTCTGGGCTCCTTTGCAAGGCAACCCAGTGGGTCCACTGACCCAAGAAAACCTCCAAGCTGCTTTTTGGACTTTGACTCTGCCACATTGCCACCTGGCCACGGGGCCTACCTCCGGCCTGGAGGACTGGTGGTGCCCAGAGAAATGTGCCCTGTAAGTTCCCTCACTCAGTTGGGAGGCGGTCACCACGTTTCCTCCAGGAAAACTCAGCGGCTCGGTGCGGAGTAGAGACCCAGTGCAAGGTGGCAGGGTCAGCTGGGTTCGACCCACTGGGCTGGGCTGAGGAAAGCCCCACCCAGAGAGAAACAAGACTGTGCACCCATTTCACAGACAGGACACTGAGGCAGCAGTCACCCAGGTGGCACAGTCCAAGTCTGACCCAGCTCAGGTGAGGTTGGGGTCCCCCGCCCATGTGTGGGGTCGTCCAGGACCCCCTACCCCTGAGTAGGACGGAGAGGCCTGGGAGGCTGGAGGCTGGGCGGAGCTGATGGACAGCCTGTGTGCAGGTATCCCAGGAATGTCCACTTCCGGGACGCCCTACATTCCGAAGCCCCTCCCTTGCCTCCTTGGAATTCCTGAGTTCACAGGGCCTGGTGTGGCCTTGGCATTTCTGCCTCTGTCTGGGGACACCCTCATACCCTACATGAGTCCCCTCAAAGCCCCTCTGCCCTGTGCCCGCAATTGGGAGAAGACCACCACTTTGTCCACAGCCCCTGCAGTATTGGGCCCCTGCAGGCCTGTCCCAGGGCAGCCGCTGATGGGACAGAGCTGTGGGGGTCAGTGGGAACCCTACCTGTCCCAGGTCCAGCGTGATGTTGACTTGGTTGTACTCCAGGCCCCGGGACAGTGGCGGGCTCTGCCACCAGCGCTCTGTACCATCGATGGCATTGCTTGCAGGGTGCGCCTTGTTGCTGTGGGCAGCTGTACAGATGTCACAGTACTGGCCCTGTGGGGACAGGGGTCAGGAAGATGGTCAAGATGCCTGGGGACCCTCACTCTACACTCCCTCTCCCAGCCCGCGGCCCCTTGTCCACTGCTTGGCTGGTGGCACCCAGCCCTCACCCCCATGACTCTATGTCTGATGGCGAGGGATCGTGGGGTACAAGGGCACCCTTTGAGGCAGAAACGGGTGAGAGAATGGGTGAGGACAGCTGGTGGGCAGGGGGCCATGCTGTATGGGCTGAGCACGGGTGTGTTCACTTCTTCCCCACCATCCAGGCAAGTGGAATGGAGACAGACAAGGACCATTTAACGCTGGGGTCCCGTGGAGGACAGCACATCTCTACCTCGTCCCCTCTCACCCGCGCCACCAGGAAGGGGCATAAACCAAGCGGAGGTGGCTGGCAGCTGGCAGCGTCGTTTCAGGTCCCTGGGCTCTGTACTTCCGAGCCCTGGGAGGGGGCCCAGTCACGGCCTCTCTGTCCCCATCCGCAGAGTGGGGACGCTGCCACCAGCTGTCGGGGCTGTAGCAAAAGCCCCACAGACATCCTCCCAGTGTGCAGCTGTCTCTGCCCGGCCACCTGTGCCCACGAGGCTGTCCCATTCTGCTCCGAGGTCCCCAGAGGGTCCTGTGCTAGAGAAGGGAATGGAGGGAGCAGGTGCTGGGAGACACGAGGCAGGGGGGTCGCTGCAGCCTGAGGGGGAAGGCCTGTCCGCCTCCTAGAGGCCTCCAGGCTGCCTGCACACACACAGGCGGGTGCTGAGTGAGACCCGAGAGGCTCCCAGGTGCCAGACCTCACCCAGGAAGGGGGCAGGAGTGTGGGAGATCCTCCGTCACGGGGCCCAACACCCAAGGGAGCCCCGCCCCACATGTACAGTGTCCCTACCATCTTCTAAGCTGTGCCTGGGACAGTCACACCTGCACCAGGGCCTGGACCCTGTGAGGGTGCTATGGGGGCCATTCCTGCCTTTGCAATCCCCGGGGACCACCCTCAGTGCTGAATGTGACACCCCACAGGCCCACCCACATCTTATTCTATGGCCTAATTTCCTGTGTGTCAGTCCTCATTCCCATGGGCGCTCGGGCCAGTTCTCAGCTGTGTCTACACACCCACCCACAGCTTTGTCATGGAGGGGCTTCGTGGTAACCACTAGACAGTGAAGATCCCCGTCTCAGCCCTGAACTCCAGCTTTGACTCCTGTGAGAGGAGGCTAGCCTGTGAGACTTCCTGGAAGAGGGAATTGTGGGCAGGACATCTGGGCCTTCAGAGAAGGCTAATGTCCAGTCAAGACCGTCCCGGGTGGGTGAGTACAAGAAGGTTGGGTCAAGAGCGAAGTTTGTCTTCTAGAGCAGTGGGAAACTCACGCTGTCGCCCTGGCCCTGGCTGCCCGTGCTGGCCCTGGCTGGGTAGGGCTCCCTCTTTCTCCTCTGTGGAGGAGATTGTGGCCCGGAACACAGTGAGGAAACAGTGATGGGCCGATAAGGATTTCCCTCCTGTAAGTCACAGGCTAGCTTCCCCCCTCGGCCCTGGGCAGCCCGGAAGTCTATCACTTACTGCCCACCCAGGGCTTGCACATGCCAGGACACCCAAACTGCTTCTGGGCTGCCTGGCCTCACTGCACCCGTCTTCTGTAAGCAGGCCTGGACCTGGGGGTCACGCTCCCTGCCCCCACCCTGCATCTCCTTCCCAGGTTCCTACCCTGGTGGCACAGGGCTGTACTCTCAAGAGGCACCACTCAAGGGACATCAGAGGTGGCCACCGCTCTAGAGAGCTGCCAGCCCCCTGCCCTGCCGAGCCCTGCCTACCGGCCAACCTAACCTAGACCAGCAGGGTGGTCAACAGGCTCACTGTGAAGTCCTCCCACCTGCCCTAGGGAGAAGCAAGGAGCCAAGCAGCTTTAGAGACCTGCCCCACGTCACACGGCCATGTTGGCCGTGTCCCTTCTGCCACATTCAGCAGATAGGGCTGGCCGACCTCAGGTGGCCCATTCAGCCCCCAGCCTCCTTCCCACCACTCCCCACCCCCAACTCCTTCCTGGGAGGTGGAGCCCAGGCCCCAGAAGGCTCAGGTTACAGCCTCCCAAGCCCCGCTCTCCCAAAGGAGGGGGAAGGGTGGGAATGGGTCTGCTGTGGGGTGAAGGGGCTACAGCCTGGTCAGCTGCAAGGGGCAGACCTGGGGAAGACTGTCCCCCTCTCTGGAGGTGACACCAGACAGCCTTGCCAGATCCAGCCCTAAGTCTCTAAACCTGTGTTCACCTCCTGGTCTGCCCACCCATTACTCAGCCAGGTACAACAAGCCCTGTCCCAGTGATTAAGGCCTCTTCTCCCTGACGTCTGTCACCTCTAGGCCCAGAATGACTCCTGAGGACACCCAAGTAAGAATCTCAATCTCACACTCGCAGAAAGGATGCAGCAAGTCCCTAGACCACCCAGCCACGGCCTTAGACCTCATGGTGCCCCCCAGTCTTTCCTGATCCAGAGCAGGCCCCCCCATGCCCAGTGATTCCAGTCCTCATCCGACAGGCGGCAGGTTCCAGCCTGTCCCAGGAGGGCGAGTCGGCAGCCGCCTCCTCCCCACAGGCCGACCGAGCTCGAGGCCAAGTCCCGCCCTGCCGGAGATCCAGGGCTTCGGAGCCGCCGGGGATTAGCGTCAGCCCCCCTCTGCACCCCCCACCCGCACCTCCCTCCGCACCACCACCGCCTCCCAAATGCGCCGCGTCCCCACCCCAGCCGCACTAGGGACGTTGTGTTCCGTCTGTCCCGAGTGGGCGCAGGGGCCCAGCCAAGTCCGTGAGGCAGGGATGGGGGGTCCACGCTGCACCCCAAAACTCAGAAGCCCGGAGCCGGGCAGGACGCGGGGGTATCTGGACTCCGCCCAGCCCAGGTGCTCCCCGAGCGTCCTCCAAGGTTTGGTTTGTCCCCGCGCCGGGGACTCTGTCCCCACTCACCTGGATGGTCTGGTTGGGGTCTCCGCCAGCCACCGGGCCCCCCACCAACTTGCAGTAGAGGTCCTCAGTGGGGCGCGGGGCCCCGCGCGCTGGGGCCTCCTCCCCGCAGGTCGCGGACGCGGCGATGCGGGAACTCTCGGCCAGGTTGAAGTAGGGCGGGTGCAGGCTGAGGTCCCCGCTCGAGGTGGCCCGCACCCGCGCGAT